ATTTATTTTTTTAATAGGAGCCCTGTATCCAGATGGAACATCTGGAAAGAACAAGGATGATGACATGGTTCCCCCTGGCAAAAACTACACTTACGTCTGGCCAGTGAGAGAAGAATATGCACCTACTCCAGCAGATGCCAACTGTCTGACTTGGGTGTACCATTCACATATTGATGCTCCCAAGGATATCTGCTCTGGGCTAATTGGCCCACTGCTGGTGTGTAAGAAAGGTGAGGAGACCCTTACCCTCAAGATCCCGTTCTCATATAACGTTCTGTTGTGCTGTAGTGTTGTAACATTCAGCTCTTGTTTCATGTACCTCCCTTGCTATACACAGAATGTACCTCCTCTTCCAAATGTTCTTGAAAATTATGGAAATTCTTCTAACATGGAAGATCAGTCTAACACTGTAGGGAGAAGCAGTAATCCAGATTTCTAGGAATCATGACAGAATTCTGAAACTTATGTGCTTAAAAAAAAAATAGGGCAATTCCATATTACTAGCTGTTCGTACCACACTAACACTACATGTAGAAAAGTGAAAAATTTTGTCAAAAAGCAGTGATGCTTTTGCTTCATTTTTTTTTTACCCAAATAATCAGCTTGCTTTTTATTCTCTGTTAGTTGGTTTATTGTGTCTGTGCTCTGTCAATTAAATATGCCTCCTTTAGGAATAGTCAGGTTTCTAAGCCTGCTGTTGGGAATATTACTGTTTTATGACTTTTCTCTTCCAAGTTCTGTCATTTCCGTTAGAGCCCTTGGCTGCTTTTGTGTTCTGGAGGGGAAAAAACCAATTGCTGTCAAGTTGACTCTGACTCATGGTGACCTCGTAAGTGTCAGAGTAGAATTGTGCTCCGTAGGGTTTGCAATGCCTGATTTCTTAGGAATTGATCTCTAGGCCTTTCTTCCAAGGCACATCTGGGTAGACTCAAATCACTAATCATTTGCCTAGCAGTCAACTGTGTTACCCATTTGCACCACCCAGGGATGCCAGGTCACCCTTCTGTAGGTCTTCCACAAACTTCAAACTTCCCTGATACCACTGGCTGGAAGGAAAAACTCATTTTTTTTTTTTTTAATGAGGGGCTTCTTCCACAGCATTATGTTCTGTTTTTTTAATTTTTATTGTGATTTGAGTGAAAATTTAAGAGCAAATTCATTTTCCATACAGGAGTTCATACACATTTTGTCTCATGACATTGACTGCAATTCTCCACAAGGTAACATCTCTCTTCAACTTTTTCCCCATAGTTGCCTCTTCCCTGTGTCCTTCCCTCCCATGCACTTCCACTCCCCAAGATGTCTCCCTGTGCAAACACTGCCCTTCTGTTCTCCCATGATTGATCACTCCAAGGAGTGTATTTACCTTATGTAAATGTTTGTACCATATGCCTACCTTTTGTTTGGCTGGAAGCAAACATTTCAATTGCATTTCAATTGCAGACCTGAAGGGTGGCTAGGGGCCATATTCTCAGGGGTCTCACCAAGCTCCAAAGACCAGCAAACCTGGTCTCTTTTTATGATTTTGAGTTTTGTTCCACATTGTTCTCCCACTCTATCCAGGATCTCCTGCACTGATCCCCCTCAGAGTGGTTGACAGTAGTAGCCAGGCACCATCTAGTTCTTTTGGTCTCATGGTCATATAGACTGAGGATCGCAAGGTCTACTAGTCTCTTGGACTAATTGTTTCCATGCATCTTTAGTTTTCTTCATTCTTATTTGCTCTGGACAAGAAGAGACCCATCGTTGTGTCTAGATGGCCACGTGCAAGCTTTTAAGACCCCAGTAGCTACTCACCAGAGTAGGATATAGAGCAGTGTTTTTGTGTAGTATGTTATGGCAGTTGAGCTTGATGTCGTCTGTGACAATGGTCCCAAGCCCACAGGTCCAACTACTCCCTCCCTCCGGGTAGCTGGCTATGGCAAGGAAGCCACTTGTCAGCTCTACCACACACCTAGACATTCTTACAGCACATAAAAATATGCATGTAGAAACATTGTCTGTCAACCCTATACGTGGACACAGGCACAGTCCCCCCTACCTAGACATACCTGATCATTCAGCCTGTCTACCCATCTATCCACCTGTAGATCAATGCTTGCTATCACTGACAATGCAGTATTGTACATGCAAAAGTATTCATCTTTGTTGTCTACACCTCCCATGTACCTTTCTATGTTTTCTTCTTCTTCAGTGTCACCATGTTGATCACTCATTTTTGGTACATTACCCTTCCCTTCACGCAAATCAATACTTGTCTCTACCTATCTAGCAGTGTACCCTCCTCTTCCTTCCCATCCCTAGTAACCAACAAAATTTCCTTCTGTATCTAAACCTTTCCTTGACTTTTTACAATAGTGAACTTATACAATATTTGTCCTGTGATTGACTTATTTCACTCAGCATAATGTCCTCCAATTCATCCATGCTATGTAGTATTTCGCAGATTCTACATTATTCTTTAGTGTTGCATAGTATTCCACTGTCTGTATACCATATAGTTTGGTTATCCATTCTTCTGTTGATGAGCACTTGTTTCCATCTTGTTGTTTCCATCTCTCTGCTATTGTGAATAGTCCTACAGTGAACATGGGTGTGAATATATCTGTTCTTGGCCTGGATCTCACGTCTTTTTTTTTTTTTTTTAATTTTGATTTGGGTGAAGATTTACAGAGTAAATTCCCTTTTCATACAGCAGTTCACATATACTTTGTCTCATGTCATTGA